TCTATGCACAGAAAAGAGAGAGGAGGGAGAGAAGAAGAAGAAGGAAGAAGAAAAAAAAATCTGTAGCCTAATATGAGGTCTCTTTCCCTCCCTACAGCCCTCTCCTTCTCTTTCCTGTGTTAAAAAACTGAACAAAAAGCAAACAAGAAAAGCTCAAGGCCTGCTCTTGGGCTGAGTATCTGTCGGCTGTTGGGTTTTAAGTGGATATTGTCTCTTTAAATTTTGAGGAGATCTATGTACATGCATAGTAGAACCCTCCAAGGGTGGGGCTGGAGTGTCTACTAGCTCAGGCACCCCTATAGTTACCAGAATGGAGGTATGCAGACAGCCAGGGACCAATGAAAAGATACCAAAAAAAAGAAAAGAAAAGAAAAAAAGAATGTCCACACCTCTATCTCTGTGGCTCTGTCAGGCGTCCATGGCTGCTCTGATCCTTTCCCTGCTTGGCTCCACACAAAATGGTGGCTCCTGGAGCAGCTGAGTGTTCCGAACCAGGAAGCAATGGATTTCTTGATTTTGCCACAAAATCCCCAGCTGTAAGTCTTCCAACCTTCTAAATATTCCTTTATATGTGGTTCAGAGTACTGGGACCATTCCCTGAGCCTTCTTGGTCCTGTATTCTGTGTTGTTCTCGGCAGAGCTCATTACTACACTTCCACCCAATCCACCATCTTTTTCTGGAAGCCCCAACTCAAAGGCATTTAACAACAGTGGATACGAAGTAGTAACTCTTTGTTTTTAATTTGCATTTTCCTAAAGACTACTGATGTTGAACACCTTTTCATGGATTTATTCAAGAACTGTATATTCCTTTGTCAAGTTTTTAATTGGGCATAGTTTTCTTTGCCTTCAGTAATTACCCTGCAATTTTATCCTATTTGCCCCCGTCACTATTCCAGTTTATCCAGGTCCTGTTGGGTTCTGTTCCTACTCAATCTTTTATAATTGTCAGAACCAATGGGTCATAATATCATAAAATTAGACTCGACACCAATTAAACATTTGGTACAAGGTGTGACACCTAATAAGATCTTAGGAAATATTTGCTGATTCCATGAACGCTGACTCTTAAACAAGAAAACCCTTTAAGAGAGGAATCTCTTAAGTTACCTAGTCAAGGGATGCCAAAAAGTAGCATTTGCATCACTCTCTAAATTTCCCGACTATAAGAGAAGTCATTAATTGATCACGGCACTCTTTAACTAATCCTGGGTTGTTAAGTGCTGTTGAGTCGGTTCCGATCCATAGTGACCCTGTGTAGGGTTTTTCTGAGGAGCAGCTGATGAGCTTGAACAGCCGACCTTGCAGTTCAAATTGACTTTGCAGTCCAGCATATTAACCCACAGCACCATATCAGGACTGGGATGCACAATCCTCAGACATTGGGCTTCAGACAGCCACTGCCAATCAAGTGGAGTTGACATGAGAGATGAGACAATCTGATCCCCTGTTAAGAGTCCAAGGCATTGCTGTACAGGTTTGACAACTGCAGCTAAGAGGTTTTAAATGTGATGCAGTGAGTCCCAGATTTATAGTAGGGTTCTAGTCTGATGACTACATCATAAGTCAGTGCCCACATAACTCGAATACCTCATTTTGTAAAAATTTTCATTATTATTGCCTTTTATTGTAAATCTGGCAATGTTTTGAGTAGTAAATCATAAAACTGAGCATTTGTGAGTGAATATCTAAGAATTATAACATCAGCAAATTATGTGCTAGAACATATTACTCAAGATAAGGAGTATACAACAAAAACAGAAACAGACAGTTGTAAGTGCGGTTTGTCATAACTGGAAAACATCATAAATCAGAAACTACCTGTATTTTCAAATCCCAGCCTGACTCTTTAGCCAACACTCCTTGCATAAGCTAACACTTGCCGTTGAGTAAACTGCAGCTCGTGGCAACTCTATATGTGTCAGTACAGAGCTGCGTTCTGCAGGGTTTTCAGTAGTGGGTTTTTTTCAGAAATAGATTGCCAGGTCTTTCTTCTGAGGCTCCTTTGGGTGAACTTGAATTCATCTTTGGTTTGGAAATGGTCATTTCTGAATGGGTCTTCCACCAGGATTTCATGTGTTGACTGGACTCAATTACAACTAGCCCCTAGCCACTAAATTAGCCTTTGGAGCAAGACCCCATTAGACTGACTAAGGAGATCCAACAGTGCTCATTAAGAATGGAACCACTGGACGGGAATCTTGTCCCCACTCAGCAGTCTTGTCAGCTGAGCTCCTCTTCCCAACCTGCTGACCAGCGCATGGCCATCCCTCCCTCCCGCACGTCAGCCTCTGGTGTAGAGGGAAGAAGGGCACTTGGAAGGCTGAGGCTCTCAGCTGGGAGCATGGACCTCCCCTTCCTGCCTGCAGACCCCACTCACCTTCTCCTTCATCTTTTCAATCTTCTTCACGGAGCTACGGCGCTGGGGCCGGTCCTCGTGCCGCAGCAGGTTCATGCTGAGGTCTCCCGACTTGTTGAACTGCTTCTCCTCCTGCTTCTCAGCCTCTTTCAGCTTGCTTTCTGCACTGATGCTCTCTGCATGGTACATGTGGTAGGTCTTCATGACCTGGGGGGACACACAAGTACAGATCAGCAGCCAGTCATGGCCCAGTGTGGACCAGCCCTACGGTTCTAACACCTATAAAGTTCTGCGCTCCAGGTAGACCTGCCCATCCCTCTTTCCATAACACATTTGTTTACTTTTTTTATTCATGTAAAGTTTTATTATTATAGAAGCAGTACTAGTTTATTATACAAGATTAGAGAATACAGGAAAGCAAAAATACAAAGTAGAGACATCATATTATTCCCATGGCCATAGTAACATTATGACTTTTTTCACACTTCTTTGCTTTTGCACAAACTCTCTAGGACTGGAAATGATGAAGAGCAGCAACAGCAGCAGCTTCACCACCGCCATCATCATTGTCTTCTGTAGCAGCAGCATTGAGACCTGTCAATCAGGTTGTACTAAGTGCCACGCCTACCACCCATCTGTCAGTTGGTCTTCTTATGGTGACTTGTGTGTTGCTATGATGCTGAAAGCTACACCATCAGTATTTCAAATACTAGCAGGGCCACCTTATGGGAATAAAAAGGGCCTGGAAATCTACAACTGAAAATTAACCAATAAAAACCCTATGCATCACAGAATATTGCCCAAGACTTCAAGTTGTTCATGTTCAATGCATCATCAGAGGGACCAATTGCTGGTGAAGGACATCATGTTTAGTAAAGTGGAAGGAAAGCAAAGATGAGGGAAACACAAAATGAGATGGAATGACACATAGCCACACAATGAAACGAAACACACCAAATGGAAACGGCATAGGGCCAGACAATAAGTATTTCCTTCCATTGTACAAGAGGTCGCTATGAGTTTGAACCAACTTAATGACAATAACAAGCGCCAGGCACAGGCTAGTAAAGAGGAAAGCTAAAAGGATAACCATAGCTCTTGAACTTTGGAGGGTCTCAGAGGTGATGTGGCAAATGTGGTCCTTCCTGAGCTGTCCCACGAGCTGTCCTTGCTCCTACAAGTGCGACCCTTGTTCGTCTCCAAGTACCAATGGGAAAACTCCTTGTCAGGGGTCCGTGGAACTTCCATGAAGGACATCCTTCTTAATCATGTTCAAATCATGTTGTTCTCTTAATCAGTTGTCCTCTTAAGTAAACGTTACCTACAAGTGACTCTGTCCCCAGAAGAGCATTTATTATGTAAGTCAGTAGCTATTCTATGCCCTAAATAAGATCATCCTTGGCTATTTACATGACTTCCTGTAGAGCAAATATTACTGTGCTACTCTACTTCCATGGTGTCCTGGTGTGGTGCTGTGGGTTAATGCGCCAGACTGCAAAGCGGTTTGAACTGCAAGGTTGGTGGTTAAAGTTACCAGCTGCTCTTAGTAAACCCTACACAAGGTCGGAACCAACTTGACGGCACTTAACAACAACACCAACTCTACTTCCATAATAAACATCACATGCTGTTATAACAAGGGAATTCTGAATCAGAAGAAATCCCAGGCATCATCTACTTTAACCACCAACTTTTACATATAGGGAAAATGAGGCTCAGAGAGGTGAAGTGGCTTGTCCAAGGTCGGACAGTATATCAGTATATTTTCCAGACTTTCCATCCATGTAGTCAGTTGTTACCACAGGCAAGATACACAACATTCCTGTCACACCAGAAAGGCCCCTCATGCCCACACCCATATCTGGCCTCAGGAAACCGCTGACTTGCTTTCTGCCACTAAAGATTTGTTTGGTCTGGTTTGTTATTACTAATTGCTGTTGAGTTGGTTCCAACTCATCATGGTCCTGTCTAAGCTTTCTGAGGAGCAGCTGGTAGGTTTGAACCACTGACCTTGTAGTTAGCAAGCAGTCCAATGCTTATCCTACAGCATCACACCAGTCCCTAGGTGTTGCCTTTTCTGGTTCTTTTTATGAGTATGTGTTGTCTTTTGCATCTTCCCAAATGCTCAAATCATGAAAACAGGAAAGTATTACATGCCTAATGCTTGAAATTGTCTTTTAAAGATAAATAAGAGTCTGAAAGTTGGCAGCATCAATAAAACGACATGCTGGGGCAGAGTAAGGATCCATTGTTAGCAAACAGCTTCTCAACAGTCCATGTGGGCTTCTCTGTCCCACAGGCAGGGCCATCTCTGTGCACATCAAACCCTCTGCCTCCAGCACTCGTGTACAGGTGGAATCTTGAACCAATTCATGCCAAAGACATTCCCTGAAGGAAAAGAGAAGTCCCAGAAGTTGTCCTGCCACTACACTGTGTAGGCTGTGTTCGCCACAGAATTGATCATTTCTATGATGAAAAACATGGCATCAAGATTGGAGGAAGACTCATTAACAACCTGAGATATGCAGATGATACAACCTTGCTTGCTGAAAGTGAAAAGGGCTTAAACTACTTACTGATGAAAAGTGAAAGACCATAGCGTTTGGTAAAGTGTTGAAGAACAAAGATGTCAGCTTGAGAACTAAGGTGTGCCTGACCCAAGCCATGGTATTTTCAATAACCTCATATGCATGCAAAAGCTGGACAATGAATAAGGAAGATCGTAGAAGAATTGATGCTTTTGAGTTATTGTGTTGGAGGAGAATATTGAAAGTGCCATGGGCTGCAAAAAGAATAAACTTCTGTGTTGGAAGACGTGCAGCCAGAGTGCTCCTTGGAGGCCAAGATGGCCAGACTTCATCTCTCATAGTTTGGACATATTGTCAGGAGGGATAAGTCATTGGAGAGGGTATCATTTCTGGTAAGGTGGAGGGTCAGACAAAAAGAGGAAGACCCCCAGAGAGATGGATTGGCAAAGAAGCAGCATCGATGGGCTCAAGCGTGGCACCAAGTGTGAGGTTGGCCCAGGACTGGGCAGTGTTTCATTCTGTTGTGCATAGGGTCACTATGAGTCAGTACCAACTCGATGGCACCTAAGAACAACAACCCTATTTATTCATTCATTCTATATCCCCAAATGCAAGACTGCAAAGTCCAAGGTGACCAGGACCTGCAATAAGCAGTCTGGAACCCAGTAAGTACTAATATTTATTTACATGGATGAATGGATGGGAGGAAAGGAGAGAGGGAGTAAAAGAAGAGAAGGGAGAAAGGGAAGGGGGAGGGATGAAGTAGGGGAGATGCAGTTCCGTTACCTTCGACCTGGTGAGTATATTGGAGGAAGGTGGCAACTACACCTTCCATCATAAATATTTATTAATCAGTTTATTATATGCCAAGTAATACTCCAAAGCAACCCTATGTGGTGGAATTAGTTTCTCCTCATGCAGACCCATGTGTTACAGAGTAGAAAGGCCGCATCAAGTTTGCCTGGTTATAATCTTTATGGAGCTCTGGTAGCATAGTGGTTACGAATCAGGCTGCGAACCTTAAATTCAGCAGTTCGAAACTACCAGCTGTTCTGCGAGGGAAAGATGAGGCTTTCTGCTCCTGTAAAGATTTACAGCTTCAGAAACCCTGTACAGGGTTGCTATGGGTCAGAACCGACTCGACAGCACTTAACAACAACAACAACAATCTTTATGGAACTGATTTTCAGGCTTTTATTCTCTGGTGCCACTGGGTGGGTCCAAATCATCAATCTTTTTAATTAGTTTTTGTTGTGAAGTGCCGTCAAGTTGGTTCCGACCCACTACGACCCTGTATAGGGTTTCTGAGGAGTGCCTGGTGAGTTTGCACTGCTGACCTTGCAATTCAAACCAACTTTGCAGTCTAGTGCATTAACCCTCAGTGCCAGACTACCGTTTGTATCACCCAGAGTCTTTAGTTACTATATGACTCAAACTAAAGCCGTCAATTCCAACTCATAGCCACCCTGTATAGGGTTTCCAAGGCTGTAAATCTTGTTGGGAGCAGAAAGCCTCATCTTTCTCCTACAGAGCAGTGGGTGGATTTGAACAGAATAACTGGAGGTTAGCAACCCAATGCTTATCCTACAGTGGCACCAGAGCTCTTATACAATTGTTGTTACATGCCGTTGAGTTGACTCTGACTCATAGTGACCCTGTATAGGATTTCTGAGGAGTGGCTAGTAGATTTGAACTGCTGACCCTACAGTTACCAGTCCAGGGCTTATCCTACAGCGCAACACCAAAACTCCATACTATAGCAGGACAGGCACTGTATACTTGTTGTTGTTGTTGAGTGCCATCAAGTCAATTCTGATTCAGCAAGCCTGTATAGGTGTTCGAGGAGTAGCTGGTGGGTTTGAACTGCTGAGCTTGTGGTTCCCAGTTCAGTGCTGCTCTTATAGCGCCATACCAGAACTACTATATACTAGGTGCTGTGGAATACACAGTGTGGAAGACAGATAGGGTATCTGCCCTCACACGCTACTGGGAAGACAGACAATTAGGCAGGTGGTTAGCACACGGTGTGGTAAGTGATATCTGATGAGGGGGCGTGCTGTTTATTGTGTGTCATTGAGTTGATTCCGATTCATATTGCAGTCCTACTAGACAGAATAGAACCTCCAAGCCATGGGATTTCCCTACAAGAACTGATTGCCCATCACCAAGCTTCAGCTAGCAGTAACTGTGTGCCACCAGGGCTCCTTGGTGACAGAGTAAAGGCTACTAAAGGAAGTCTTCCCGGACAAAGTGATATCTCAAGTGAACCTTGAATGGAGCATAGCTGGTAGCTGGGTGGACAGGGCACAGGGATGAGGACGGAAGTGTTACAGACAAAGGTAGCCGAGTGAGCATTAATCTCCAGGGTGCAGGAGCCAAGCAGGAGGGAAAACTTATAGGTAGAAGAACATCAGATATTTGCTCATTTGAGCACCAGCCAACGAAGCCACTTCCTTATCTGCCCCCCAGCTACACCCCCTCAGGGACATCTGTTGTTTTTCTCTGCAGGAGCATCCAGTTCTCCTTCTGTAACAGCTTCTTGATTTTCTTTGAGGAAATGCTCAGAATTCTCCTTTACCACTTTCAGTCCATGTGGTTCACATAAAACTGATCACATCTTCTACTTCTAAAGGTGGACATGAGACCTAGGCCTAGCCAATCAGTAAACATTATGCTAAT